TTCTTATCAGTGCTCCCTCGTAAGATAGCCAAGGGCTCATAGTCCTCCTTCTAGCTCTAATCCAATAAGTCAATATTTGATCATCATTAATATAACTTCATAGGTTTAAGAGGAATTATCCACTTTTATTCATATGTGATAAGTTTAGTCGTTATTGATGCGGTCTCATGAGAAATTATCCGCTTTGAACATACTCATACGATTTTTATCTTCTTGGGATTCACAAACTCCAACTTTACGGGTTAGGGTAATCCGACGAACTTATAAGTCATTTGTTATCCTACTCACCAATCAATGTGGACTAAATATTCTTATCAGTACTCTCTCGTAAGATAACTAAGGGCTCATAGTCCTCCTTCTAGCGCTAATCTAATAAGTCAATATTTGATCATCATTAATATAACCTCATAGACTTAAGAGGAATTATCCACTTTTATTCATATGTGATAAGTTAATAGTTAGTCGTTATTGATGCGGTCTCATGAGAAATTATCCGCTTTGAATATACCCATACAATTTTTATCTTCTTGGGACTCGTGAACTTCGACTTTGTGGGTTAGGATAATCTGACAGACTTATAAGTCATTTGTTGTCCTACTCACCAATCGATATGGACTAAATATTCTTATCAGTGCTCCCTCGTAAGATAGTTAAGGGCTCATGGTCCTCCTTCTAGCGCTAATCTAATAAGTCAATATTTTATCATCATTAATATAACTTCATAAGCTTAAGAGAAATTATCCACTTTTAGTCATATGTGATAAGTCAATAGTTAGTCATTATTAATGCGATCTCATGAGAAATTATCCGCTTTGAATATACCCATACGATTTTTATCTTATTGGGATTCATAAACTCCAACTTTGCGGGTTAGGATAATCCGACAAACTTATAAGTCATTTGTTGTCCTACTCACCAATCAATGTGAACTAAATGTTCTTATTAGTGTTCCCTCATAATGTAGCCAATGGCTCATAGTCCTCCTTCTAGCATTAATCCAATAAACCAATATTTGATCATCATTAATATAATCTATCAGTGAACTTATATAAACATTTGGTTTCCTATTTATGGGATTAAATATCCTTACAAACATGGAGTGTTAGTTATTGTTTATTAAATTTATTTTTTTTCATATTAATTTTAATATTGGCGTATAAATCGATCATAAAATATGTACCAAATGAGCTTACGAATCTTCCTTCCAATGGAGTCGGATTGATTCCGACACCGCCGACTTCATCCCTATCCTCTCCCATTGATGACATCGATGAACTTAGTAAAAGAAGGAACTGAGTTACTCTCGCAAATCATTGTGCATGTACTCATCTCGCTGCCTTCCTGCAGTACTCAGCACTGTCAGCTGTCGATAAGGTGTCTTCAGTGAGCAGAAGCAGAACCAAGTGAGCATGTGAAGGAGAGACATGCGTCGCCTTCGCATTTCAATTCCAGGAAGCACATCACATGGGATTGCCATTGTCATTCAATGTGATGGAAATCAGCGTTGTAGCTTTGATCAACTATCGCTAAGTTTAGATAAGATTTTTTCTAATTATATAAGGAAATATCTCTATTTTATTGAGAGAAATCATCTATTTTGTTATTCTGTTGAAAAAAATTCTTTATTTCTGTATAAACAAGAGAGAAACATATTAATGTATTCAAACTTCTTATCTTCTATTCTCTTTAACGGTTTCATGAGAAACTTATCTCACACGACCCTTTTTTTATTTACCTGATATGTCAGGAAGAATCACTCTTATAAGGTTGGTAATAGGACGTCGATGAGATGTTGATTCGACCTCACGAGTTTAGAAGACTGATTCGATAAATCGTTATTTTATAATCGAATTTGATGCACTATTCAATTATTCACTAATGATCGAACGATACATATAACTTCACATTATAAAAAAAAATATTATGATGCTGTTAGATTATATTATAATTTATAATTGGATAAGATATATAATATAACTAATTAAATTCTGATAACCTATATTGATTAATAGAAAATAATTTTTTTTATAATAAAAAATAATTTATTCGAGACCTTTTACTCTTAGTATATTATGTTTTGTAATTAAGATATTACAGAACGTAAATTCGATATAATATTATTTGATTTTAATTCTGACATAAAAAATTATATTAAACAAATATCTTTTAACCGAATACACTCGTTTATTGATTGTGTGCTAATAAAGATACGATCACGAATCACGTGTTAGACATCGATCGACGAAGAATATTCGACGTATCAGCCCGGACAGAAAGGCGTAAATAATGGAATCACGTCGGAGTCAAATGAAACAGCGAACTATTGTTTGAAGTCGGACCATATCGTGTCGGCGTCGGCGTCGGCGTCGAGTCGCTCTCACCCAATCGTTTTCCCTTCTCACGTCGGATTCCAGCTTCGTCGTCGCGTCGCCCTCACCGCCGATCCCCCTGACGTCACCACGGCCATTCCTGCGCTTCAGCTGATACCTTGACGTCGTTCCATCTCTCCACACCGACGGCCACCGCCACCCATGTCCGTCCAAGGATCGCATGCATGCGTCCATGGCGCGCGGACGATGACAGCAGAAGGTGCATGGTTTGTTGGTGCGCCGACGAACGAGTGACGCCGTGTGGTGTGGCGCCCCGCCCCCACCAGCGACCGAGAAATCGCGTCGGAGAGACGGTCTGCGTTCGTTCTTCCCGGTAAATTAGTTGATATAGAAGACAACAACAACGAGTGAGTTATGGAGGCAAAGCATCCATCGGAAGTGAGATCGAAGGCTGGAAATTAATGAGGTCGGGTTGGTGCACAGTTGATGGATTTGGTCGAGCGATATCAGCCAAATAATTCCACTGCACAAGTATTAGTGGAAGAGGTCGTGTACATCAACACAGGTGGCTTTTGTTCATTAATGTTCGTGGCCCCCACTCCCTTGTACTTCCAAATTATCTATATATAATTGGCTTACTTGGTTCCATTATCACATTATCATAAATTAGCTTTGTTCCAAGATGTTGAATCTATGTCAAATCATCTTTCATGGCACAAGAGTTGATATTTCTTACTTTTTTTTTTTATGATTTGACCCAATAACAAATGATCTATATATATATTTTTTTTTTTGTAATAATCGACCATATGTATAGAATCAATCTGAATATTAGTCGTGATAAAAAAATATAATATAATGTGATATTCAAGTCATCCTCCATCAATATTCAAAATAGATCAATACAGACTTCTTTCTTATCCTTTACGATAAAAAGACAATCACAAACTATTTTCTCATTTTTTTTAATATAAAAAATATTTTAAATCTAATTGAAACGATTTTTTTTAAACTATTCAAATATATATTTTGAAGTATCAGATTATTTAAATCTACGTTTTCACCTTGGAAGCATCTCGAATAATCATACTCCGAATCATGTCGGACAGATCAAAACGTCAATGATATTTTTTAAAATATTTTTAACATAAAAAAAGATATTCGACAAATAAAATCATATATATATATATATATAATTAACATGTAATTTTACCTCTACAGTACAAATATTGTTCCGAGTCAACATCCTTATAGAAGGGATCATTCCAACTTACATGGATGAAATGATGAACACAATGACTATTAGCTGTCTAATGATTTCGGTGTACTCCAAAGTCAATTTAATATCACATGGAAACGAAGACATGCCACAAAAGAGCAATGTGAATTATATGAATATTCTCAATGATTTAGCCAATAATGTTCCGAAACATGACTACTTCATTCATTTAAATACTCGAACGAGTGTAGCCAACATAATGACTATCCTGTCTTTGTTTTTATTCTCAAACACCACACCAAGTGGGAGAAAAAAAAATCTACATCATCAATCTTCCGAGGAAGAACATGAAATTGCTAATTACATTATACATGTATGACCATAAATATGTAAAAAATGATTCTAAAATTTCAAAAAAAAGAGGGATTCGATCGCAAAAACTTTTACTCGATAATTGAATTATTATTTAATTTTAAAAATTATTAAAGATATTATGAACCTTTTGCCTTGGATGAGATAAGCCTATTGGATAATACTGTAAATTTAAGGGATACAAAATGAAAATTTCAAAAATATTTTTTTTTAAAAAAATGGTCTAAAATGATAAATAAATTTCTTATAAGAAAATCATCATCTTAAAAAAAATATATTTTTATTTATTTGTTTGTGTTCTCATTTTTATCATTCGTAAAATCGATAATTCAACCCTCCACATAACGTATTATATGTTATATCAATATAGTCGATGATATTTTTAAAAAATAAAATTAATTATTTTACTTTTATAATTATCCTAATATAAATTTTTAAGATGTAAAAATTATGATACAACGACTAATATATAATTAGCCTAAATTTAAGGGATACCAAATTAAAAATCTAGAAATAAAGGTTTTATTGAAAAAGGTCAAAAAAAGATTTTTTTTTTCTAGAAAAAAATCATCATAATAAAAAAAATGATTTATTTTTATTTGTTTGTTTGTGTTCTCTATTTATTTAGTGAGGCTAATTAGTTGTAAGCCATTTGTTTGGGTTGGGCATGTGATACAGGCGGCAGCGTTCATACTCCTTTATTTTACTGTACTACTACTGTGTTGGCCATGCAATGATAGCGAGAAAGAAGGCAAGGCAAAGGAGTATTGTATTGAGCCGAGGTTGACCGGTGAAGCTGGCGACTGATAGTTTATAGCTCCACACACTCGTTCCCCGGTCGCAGCTGCCTCTCCCTCCTACTATTTTGGCCCTTTCGTTTTGCTTTCCATCTCGTGCGTGTGTCAGGCGGGGAGAGTGGGAGAGCGTCTCGGTTGCAACCCCGAATCTTCTCCTCCTCAGGGAGCTCCTAGAAGGCCCCTTTCTCTTTGTGTCTTGGCACTTTGTAGCTCACGGACACCGGAGGGGTCCGGTTCGTCTCGGGTGGGTGTGTCCTGACTCATGAGGTAGACCTCCAGGACGCTTCCAGCAATGGTGTTCCTGTAGATGAGATTTTGGTTTCTATTTCTTGTGTTTCTGATATATTGGGATCTTTCAAAGGAGGGATTTTTACCCCGCCCCTCGAAGTGTTTGTCTCTGAGAAGAAAGAGAAGAATAGGATTTCTTTTTGGCATTTAAAGAATCTTGACGTTGTTGGTGTGAGCGTGGGAGAAAGATGAGGTTTTGATTCGGATTTTTTTTTGCTCTGGGAGATGCTTTTTGTGGTCTTATCGGAGTAGTTATCGGAAGAAATTAGCAGGAACGCGAAGGAGAAGGAAAGGGGGGAAGAAGGAGGGTAAGAGGTCGATGTAACTCTGCCTGTGATTTTTGCTACTTAATGCCAGAGATTAGAGAAATATCCTGAGAAATCGAGGTCTGGAATGTCGACCGAGTTGCCGGAGTCGCGGTCATTGGCACTGACGCCTACCTGGTCGGTGGCCGCTGTGTTGACGATCTTTGTGGCTGTTTCTTTGCTGGTGGAGCGATCCATCCACCGCCTGAGTTCTGTAAGTGCTTCTGGACTTTCTATTTCGATTCTTATGACACCTTGTGATCTAATCTGTGTTTGTTTGTGTGATCGATCACGGTGATATCTGTGTCTTCCTCATATCTTCTGAAACCTGCTAAGAAGAGTAAACGATCATAAATTATCTTGGGAACTAAAGCGTTGTTTGCGAGATGTGTGCCTCACATGATGTTGCGGACGTTTATGCCAAAAAATAAAAAGCTATTGTAGGATTTGGGTCATTTCGCTGCTTGAGCTTTTATGCTTGCACAATGAGTTAGCAGCTTTTGTTTTGGAACCGGAGAGGTTCGATTAAATATTCTTGCCGTTTCCCTTCCAAATCGCTCTGTCAGTATTCTAAATTTTGATGTGAACTTCCATGGTTCCATCTAACTGGATTCACAGGTTTGAGTATCCTATTGTCTGAGTTCTGCCCTAACTCCAAAACCTTGGGGACAAGAAAATGCAAAATCATTGTCGCACAACTTTATATGTAATTGTTTTCTTAGTCTACTTATTTTCTTGCTTCCTTGTAGGTTGACTGAAATTTCAGACATCCATGTGATGTTTTTGTTGATATTGGCAGCTGACATACTTGTCCTGAAATTAAATGCAATCATATCGCTTCCCTTTATTTTTTTACTTCATCAATGTGCAGTCTTTTGCTACATTTTTTCTCTAATGAAAATAGTGCAATCATATGATTTCAGGTACCTCTGTGTCTCCGTTTCTTGCGGGCCAGTCCATATATTTCTTCATGCTTATTCCTGTGCTTCACATAAGATTCTAATTTGTGCATTAGCAATTCTGTGAACGTTGAACACTTATTTTCTTTCTCTTATTTGTTCTTCACTAAACTATATGGTCACTAATATAGTAATGCTAGTTATAGCAGCTTAACTTTACCATGATTTTTCACAAAAATCATCAATATACTGGATCGAACAGCTCTTCATGGAGATGCTTTAGTGTATATTGAAGTTTACTTGATAGATTGACATATCTCGTGCTTCATGATATATTAATCATCGCTATAAATTACTTGCGATTGTAGATGTTTATAGTTTCTACTGAGTCTGATTTTTCACTTTGGCAAAATGTAACTCTCGGACTAGCCCATCCGATATAACATTTGCCAACCTGAGTTGATTCATGTGGCACACTGCTGAAACCTTTTTTTTCTCTTTTTGTAAATCATAACCACTGTAACATCGAACGGGAAAGTAGTTTCATAGTTTTGTTTCAACTAAAGTCTTAAGTATCTTACTTTGTTTTATCTCACTTTTTGTCTAGTGGTTGAAGAAAACCCATCGGAACCCACTTTTTGAAGCACTAGAGAAAATGAAGGAAGGTATTCGCCTTTTTTTTTTATTAAGTGCAACCAAACAAAGTTGCCATTTTGGTTTATTGCTGTGAAAATGTTGTGAGGACTACAATTCTTCACCTCTCTATTTTTTCTCTCTTTCTCATGTATTGGCACAGTATATACTTTTGTGACTGTAATGGTGCTTGCTTGATCATCTTACATGTGATCTGTTGTGCTGCAGAACTAATGTTACTTGGATTTATATCGCTGCTCCTGACGGCCACCTCAAGAACTATTTCAAATATTTGTATCGATTCAAAGTTCTATAATAGTAACTTCTCTCCATGTACCAGAGATGAGGTTGAGGATGTGGTGAACACCGAGAATAGCCCACCTCAACATCACAAACAGCTTATGGGCATTGTTCATCATCTCTCCTTTAAGAGGACTTTGACTGAGCTCAGCCGGAAGACCTGTTCAGAGGCATGTGTTCATCCATTACGAAATTAAGATCGTATGAAGTAATGATGAAGCTCTCTAGTACATTGCTGTTTGTTCTTTATATACCTTATTGTTTTCCAGCTTGTTTCTCATGCTTACAAGTTGCTTTCATTAATTTTGTTTAGTTAATTCTGGGAAGTCTTGATTACATAAACTTGAGTTCACATGATCTGCAGGGTCATGAACCATTTGTTTCCTATGAAGGCCTGGAACAGCTACACAGGTTTATATTTGTGATGGCAATAACCCATGTGTCCTACAGCTGCTTAACAATGTTGCTTGCTATTGTAAAGGTTAGCGGATATGGTTCACTCATCCTGGAAAACAAAAAAAACACTGATAACGTTGATGTATAACCTACAAATGTTCTGTACACATAGACGTGCTTATTTGATGAAATATCTTTTTTTTTTTTGTGCTTTTCAATTTGCTATTCATTTTTTGTTCATTTTTTGTCTCATAATAATGCCACCAGAGACATGTTAACACAGAGATAAGGACAGCAAAATGTGTCAGGCATGTACCTTAACATCTCTGAGTTAAGACGACAGCTCACTTTAATGAAGACATTAATGACTTGGTCGATTGATGTTATTGCATTGATATCTTTTTGGGGCTTTATTTTGGGGAATTCAGTCCCTTTTCTTTTCTCAGGTCTTTTTCTTAATATTTTATTCTTCTTTTTAATCTCATAAAACAGGGTGTTAGTTTCACTGTGGGAATATACATCCTTAAGCCATATACATTTACATGAATAACAGTAGAACTCATAAAATCTTATATTTTTATACTTTTTAAAAGAAACTTATTTTTTTATAGCACCTCATTCTTATATGCATTTTAGCTGTTTATTTTAGTTGCATATATATACTCGTGGAGGGCTAATATTGTCGTTGCCATGTTATCTGAACAGATACATACTTGGAGAGATTGGGAAGAAGAAGCTCGTAGAGATCACTATGATTGTTATGGTGGTAAGATGCCTGATGGTTCTTTGGTCAATGGTCTAGAGTGAAAAACTTTTAAATCCAAGTTTCAGATATGGAGCAACTATAATTGATTCCCGCCTATTTGGAGCAAGGCTTCAACATTATGACCACGGAATATAGATTCATGTTTCTTGACACCTTGAACAAACTGGCGTAACAGTCTACTATTTGGTCATTGGTTATGGTTCAGTGCACATGCATTCTTAGAACTCTTAAGTAGATTTCAATAAACAATTATTGTCTCCCTGAACATTATCAATGGCTACATAGGAAGTCTATCTTTGTTATCACCCAGCCCGATGGGCTATCCCAAAATGCATAAGCCCAATTTAATAGCATCAGTCCTCAAACCTTACATAACAATCCAACCACCATTCACTTCCAATGTAAGACTAACTGTAGTACATTAAGATTTGTTTTTATCATAAGACCAGATGACTATCCTACTAATAGCTAGGGTTTAGGTATCTTGGGCTATGTGGTTTAAGGCTCATTTTATCCGAGTTACTAAGCCAATGAGCCAATTGGGCCATTTGTGATGGTCTCCTGATGTAGTTATTGTAATCTTTCTTCTTTCACGAGGAATATCCACTGCAACACGAAGTTGACTATGCTTTCATTATGTCAATATCATGCCAGTTATCAGTGACAGAGCTACATATTGTGCGACTGTGATTGAAACTTGTTTGCTTGTCCATTAAATATTTGTTCAATATATGTTTAGATTATGCACTTATTAGTTATTTTTGCAGTTCTAGTTGATGCTTCACATTGCTTGTTGACAAATTGTTGACGATAAAGTGGAATAACTTACCAGATCCTAGCTGGTTACAACCTTCATAATGTTAAATTGCTCTTGATACTAATGATATCCTCCTAGAGGAGTTCTTCCTTTAACATGATTGCCATCATCTGGTTCTGGAATTTCACTGAGCTGTTCATCTTTGGCTATCGTTAGTTGATTTTCTGGTTGGTTGCTTGGTGTAAACTGTCCAAGTTCTCTATCTTATCCTTCGACAACAATTCAATGACTTGAAAGATAGTTAGCCACATTGATTTCATCCTGCTTTTCTGTCTTCAATCATCATTATTTTTTAATTTCATGTTTCAGCGGAAATCACAAGAGCATTGCAAATTAGAAGGCAGTCAAGCTTTATGAAAATCCATTCATCAAATTCGTGGACCAGAAACAAATTTGTTATTTGGGTGGTAGGTGCAAACTATTAGGTTTATTACATTAAAAACCTAGTCTATATTTTTGATACACGAGGAAAGGCGTATGAGAATCAATAAAAGCACAGTATTCTTTGTTGAGGATAAAGTGAGTGAACTTAGAGAGATTAGGTGTGTTTACTCTTGGCAAGTACTGTTGTTCAGTTCTGCAATTGTATATTAACTGCTTTGCGGTGTCCAATTAATTATTCTGCAGACCTGTTTCTTTCGCCAGTTTGGAAGATCGGTTGTACGAGCTGATTATCTTACCCTCCGTCGGGGATTTATGCTGGTACACCATAATCTGAATAGTGAAGTGGTTTGGATGCAGATTTACTTCCTGTTTACTCGTAAAGGCATCTGTAGTTATTAAGTCATAGCGCTCATCTGTTATTGTGCTTTTATTCTTTCTACTATAACGATGAATACAAGCCCCTTATGTTTTGTTTTCTTCTCCATATTTTTTATAGTGTTTTTCTTCTCTAAAGTGTACTGATTTTGGTATAAGATAAAATAACATGAATAATTTTAACCAATTATTTACAAAAGCTTGTTTGCATCTCCCTTTTGACCAAGCATGTGTTAGAGAAGTAATGTGAATAATTTTAAATTTTCAAGTTGCAAGTAAACCAATTATTAAGTGTATTTCTTAAAATGGTACTGAAAATTGGTGACAATATCCATGTCATTCCTTTCTCTTTTTTTTCAGAGAGAAGTGGTGGAAGTAGTACACTGACAACTGTTTGTTTAATTTCTTTCCTTCTAAGATAAAATTTGCAAAAAAAAAAAAAAACAAAAAAGAACCGTGTATCAGTATTCATTAGCACCTAGTAGTTGACCTAGTCACCATACAATGGCATACTTTGGTGAAGGAAGATTCTTGTCTTTTCTCGGAGACTTATCTTTTTTCTCATGTATAAATGGCAGAACCACCATCTGATATCGACATATGATTTTCATAGCTACATGATACGCTCGATGGAAGAAGAATTTAAAAGGATTGTTGGTGTAAGGTTGGTTGAAGTTTTCGATGTGTCATGTCCATTTAATCTAATTGAGCATCTTTATTCTTCATTGGTTATTATATTCCAGCTAATTCTACTGAACTATATTAAAATATTTATGATTAACCTACTTTGAACTGTATAATTAAATCATCATGTTCCTTTGATATACATTAACTAACATTCTAAAATTTAACTTATGCAGTGCACCATTGTGGGGTTTTGTTGTTGCATTTATGTTGTTCAACATAAATGGTAAGTTTTAATGATACTTATTCCTCAAAATTCCTTCACATGTAGGTGTGAAATTTCCAAAATTGGGAATTTGTTATTGATTTTCCCCCCAGCACTCACATTTTGATTCTTGGTGTTACTCTAGTCTTCCAGTTGCTTATTGCAACTACAACCATTTGTCTTGCAGGATCTAATCTTTATTTCTGGATTGCCATTATTCCTGTCACGGTAAGTACTAGATTGTTCATTACTGTTAACTAGTTAAGAAATTAAATTGATCGCATAGTTCTACCTTTCATTTGTCCGTCTATGCAGCTTGTGCTCCTGGTGGGTGCAAAGTTGCAGCATGTTATTGCAACTTTGGCACTTGAAAGTGCCGGCTTAAGTGAATTTGGTGGTAGATTAAAACCTCGAGATGATCTATTCTGGTTTAAGAAACCAGAGCTCTTATTATCATTGATTCATTTCATTCTTTTCCAGGTATGTGCTTTTTCTTTATTTTATAAACACTTGCATCCTTTTTACTTACATGCTTACGAATGAATAAAAATTAAAGGCTTTTTGTCGCCTGCAGAATGCATTTGAGCTCGCTTCTTTCTTCTGGTTCTGGGTATTCTCTCTCCCTTTTGATCTTTGAGTAAATAAAGTTGGAAATATGATTAATCTTGTTGGTCAAGTCAAATTTAGCTTCAGTACTTAATTGCATCACTACACCTTTTGGCTGTTATTTTACAGTGGCAGTTTGGCTACGATTCATGCTTTATTAAAAACCATTTGCTGGTATACTGCCGCCTTATCTTAGGGTAAGCAATTGCTGGCCAATGATGATTTAACTGGTTTGGTAGGAAGACCTAAAATGGTCAGTTCGATGTTTGTTAATGTGCCTCTCAGGTTTGCCGGTCAGTTCCTCTGCAGTTACAGTACGTTGCCGTTGTATGCGCTGGTTACGCAGGTATTATGCCATGAAGTGATAATTAGATTTCTGGTCATTAGCCAAATTTATTGCTTCAGTTCTAGAATAAATTTTGGAGGGACAAAGATGAATAAATTGATTTATGTGAATATATATTGCATTATGCAAAGTGTAAATGCATGCATGTATATGTTATAAATCTAGACCATGCATATCTGTGTATACAACTTTTTATATTCTTCAAATAAATGTAATATGTGCTTAACAAATACTTCTATTAAGCGGGCAGCTGATCTATGTTTGCTCCCTTGTAAAAAAAAAAAACTTGGCCTCAAATTTATGCATATGGATACTTGTTTGATCCGAAACTTCTACGTTATTATTTCTTCCTTGAAAATACTTGTCATAGCCAGAACTTATAAACACATGCATACATACGAGTGGCAACCAAATCATCGGTATGACTATCAAAATGTGTAAAGTTATACCAACCTGATTGCTTTGAGGACAAGGTTGTTTGGTTTCTGGTCACTCTTCTCCATTTACATATATGTACACGCTTTGCTGACTGCTATATGTTTTTGTTGATCAGATGGGATCAAACTACAAAGCTGCACTTCTTCCGCAAAGAATCAGAGACACGATCCATGGATGGGGAAAGGCAGCAAGGAAGAGGAGAAAGCACCGACGTGGTATGGATGAGTCGACGATCCACACGGAGACGAGTACCGTGTGCTCCATCGAAGAGGATGAGCAGGAGTTACTCGAGGATCCCTCCGACCATTCATATATCCGGATTGAGTTGCAGCCCTCTTCGACCATCACTACTACCATTACCGATAGCGACCATCCCACAGTTCGTAATGGGGGTTCCACCTACATCAACGACGATGTCGCTCTCCTTCATTCGTTATCGGTACCTTCTTCCCCTGCCCTCTCGGGGCGAGGAAATGGAATATCAAGGTGTGCTTCCATGCCAAATTGGAGAGGATCAAGAGATGCATGAAAATTTAGAGAGACTCCTGAGAGAGAGAGAGAGATATATATGTGTATAATGATCGTATGGTAATAGGTAGTCTAAGAGTTAGCTGCAAGTGTTTTCCTGTAATTCCCCTTGGATGAATACCTGATGTAAACAAGATTAACTGATGATGAACTTGTTTTACCCGAGGCTTAGGCATCGCAAATATTTGATCTCTGATAAGTTTTATCATGGATGATGTTGTCTGTAATAGTTGCAGCAGCCATGTAGAAGCTCGTTATTGATTTGACAGTCTTTATCTGGCAATTGAGCTTAAGTATCAGACTTACTGCAGAAGGAAAACAAACATTGAAGCCGGTTCGATTACCCCGAAAGTAGAAAAAAAAACCCGGTCCGAGGGGCCACAGAGCTTTATATATACCAACCAACCCACGTGAGCTCATGATCGGCTCAATTTAGCTCGAATACCGGTCGATTTGAGGCCAGCCTTCTCTTAGATGGGTCAATGCAGTCAAACATGCCTCATAGATCATCATAATTCTTAACGGTCCGGGTCGGGTCGAATTTGGCTCGCCGGTTCACTTACACCGAGGGTAGAAATAGAATCGGATCGTATACGCTACATAGCGTTACGTTATGCATGTGTGGTTGACGTGAACAAAAAATAGCTCATGGCCGATTCTATTTTGACCCGAGTTCAGGTTGGTTTTGTGACCACCCTTCTCTCAGACTCGATCGATCGATCACGCACGAGCATAAGAATCATAAGTCATACGCATCGAACGTTCAGGCCGGTTCAATTACATCGACCGGCTACCTGATGATCATCAACATGGACGTATGACCCATTTCCCAGTCTCGAACAATAGGGACAAAGCCAACCCATACGAATTAGGCGCTCACTGATGCTAAACTCGGAAGAGCAAAGATAGGAATTACCCGTAACATTACCTCTTACCGCAAGCCATAGCACATCCGGAGTTTTTGCTCCAACTTTGGACGCCAGTGGCTAGTGAGATTATGTGAAGAAACAAACTTGCGAGGCTGAGGATTTCTGCATTCCTGCAAGGTTATTTTGGAAGTATGAAATTTTAAAGCTAGGATTTTTCTCCGGTACACCATCCTGAAACAGGAATTCAAATTACATGAAGCAAAATTTTGATGTCATATAACCTATGAATGAAGTATTATATCTTTTGGGTTCTGCAAGTATTTTATTTTTTTCTATACAAATTAGATTTTCAAAATAAATCGCCAACTGTACAGCTAAACAAAATTTTATTATCACCTAATCTGTGCGAAATTATATTGCCAATGTTCCTTCAATAATTTCATTCTCATCAGAATCTGAACTCTGGGGCTTTGGCTTCGACGTAACCCGTGAAAATCCGTATCCAAGGGAGCTTCCACTTGTTTGACATAACTGCAAGTACAGAAAGCTCATCGCGTGAAGGTCAGGGAACTTGATGCAGCATAAGAAATTAGAGGTTAGCACAAAAAAAATAAATCAATTCAGCAAGTATAACATGAACAATTTGTGATAATTTTACCTCCGTGAGCTCTGAGAGATGACGATTTCTGAATTCATTAATTGTTGCAGCAATTTCTGACATAGGCAACTTGGCCTGAAGGGGAACATAATTCTCACAGATTCAATGAACAAAATCAAGCCAATGTTATCTATGACCAAGTACTAAATATTCAGAATCATGTAAGTTCAATCACACATTGATATTCAGTTTACCTGTGCAAGAACAGCTGATGCTAACTGGAGACTTGGTTCCAAAGTTTCAGGGACAACCTTGACAATATTCAATAGAAAATCTAATTAGAATGTCAAAATGATCTTTTCATCATGATATAGTAATGTCTATATAACTGAAGAAAACATGTTGACACTTTTTTCTCTCTTCCTATGCTTTGAAATGGAAAAGGGATCGCATAACCTACCGCGGATGCACCTGCCTTCTCCAAATTAATGCCATGATCAACATCATGGGCCCGAACAAATGTCTTAACATTTGGAAAGTATTTGCTCAGTGCCCATACTGCTCTATAATTTGCACCAGGAGTATCTAAAGCTATTGCAGCAGCACAAGCTCTGTCAGCACCAACTTTATGAAGAACCTGAAAATTAAGATTCCTGAATCTATGCCACAGATTATTTTATATTATAAGTGATAAGCAAAATTAAAGCTTTTCTAACCTCTCGGCTCCCTGCATCTCCAAAATACACAGGAAGGTCAAGCGCACGTCCAACCGCTACCCGGTCACTGATAATATGGCATGAAAGATAAACAACTTAACAAACAAAAAATAATTGGAAACAAGTAAGAGATTTAAGTCAAAGAAAAGTAGATCCTTTCTGATGAGACCATTTAAAGTTCAAAGTATTGTAAAGATGTTCTATCAATTTTGCCATCTCAACTAATATGACTAAGAACTTCAACTGTCACAACGTTCAAATGTACATGTCAAAGATTTTAATTTAATTTACTCTCCAAACAACCCAGAGGATCTTCACCATTCCTTTCTATCTGAGGATAGTTTTAATCCTGTTGTCCTATGCCATATATGGCTGTAGCATAACAGTGATATGCAATAACCGCATAATCAGATGCTTTGTTTATATCCAAAATAGTTACAAATGTAAATCCTCTGATACATATAATCAGATTTATTTTAGTGTGCGAAAAATTATGCTTTGTTGGGTATAAAATTGCTCCTATATCCTTGGACAATTTAGTTGGTAGTGGTAAGGCTTAGCCATGCCAGTATCATACAACTAAAAATTCTGATGCTTATATATTAGGTAAAATAATGCAGATGAATGAAGATTACATTTCAAGAAGTGCTTTGCTAAAATATTTCAAAGTTTTCTATTGAGTACTCATGTATATACTACTAGTAGTGATCATTTCTGTGCAGGAGACACTCGAAAGCACATAGGTCAGTAGCTGGCAAAGTTGTGACCATATAAACACTAAATCAAGATATGCAATTTCGCCTGGTTCGGTATGGCATGACCAGTATTTGCCGGTCCGATTGCCAACCGGCAAGCAGACCAACCCAATTTCGAGTGGTTCAAGTGTAACACAGGATTACGGATCGGTAAGCCCTATGAACCGGGCAGTGAGGGTTGTGAATTAAAAATTTTAATTCAGGCTCGGTTCAAGTTCAGGCCCGGCAATGGACCTGGATCGGACAGTAAGCCCAGCCAGATTTTTTATTTTAAAATTTAAAATTTAAAATTAAAACCCCAACTTATCGAGTCGTGTATTCTTCCCCATGTCTGCCTATACCGTGCTGATCCAACCCGGGACCAGTACAGGGGTTCGGTATGAGATTACATTCCATGCACTTAATTATACAGAAATGTAAGAGCATGCCTATCTACTTCATGCCTGAGTTCATCATGCAATTTTTTTTATGTAAATACATTTGTACTTTAAAGAGCTCATATCATTAATATAAAAGTATAACATAAGCCATATAAGAGAATACAAAAGAACCTTACCTTCTGACGTCAAGGGCAACAAATGGAATTAACCTCTCGGAAAGAAGTTGGGCTATAATCTAAAACAGAGAGACCGAAAAGCTGTTACATTTTGAAATGAACATAATACTGTGGGAACATCATATATTGGCCTGGTTCGAGATAAGCAAATTAATGTGTCAAAGAGGAGGGTAGCAGAAGTACCTGACCAACACGTCCAAATCCACATATGATTATATGGTCTTGCAGATCATCAGTCTATACAAGAAAAGATGATAACGAAGATTAAACTTCTGGCTAGCTATAAGTACATAGTAACAATTGTGGGATAATACAAAAAATAAAATATTTATGAACCATTTATACGTGTAATTTACTTCCAAGCCTCAAGTAAAATATAAAAAGAATTGGGAGCCAATCCGTGGCTAATAGTAAGACACTAAGCTGGAATTTCAAAACATGCAGTATTCCCATAACAAACCAAATATCAGTTAGCATCCACAATTCTACTTTTCTTTTTTTGCACAATTCTACTAATATTAATCATCACAAAAAGTGTTTCGCTTGCAGAACACTTGGTTTACAGAAAATTAGAAATTGGCAATTTTCTTGCTAATCAGTTGTATTACCTAATTAAGGACATGAAAGTCATATTCCAAAACAACACTTTAATAATTGTTAAATAAATATTGTATATGGAGTTCTTTATGCTCAAAGGTATGTGGACGTTTAAGTATGGCAGGTCAGACCATTGTTGCAGAAACCTTCTACCAGTATATCAAAGAGCTTCACAGGTGTCCAAGTGCCGGACAAATATCCAACTCAGGGGCATATCTAAGATAAAGATACACGAAAGTTGATGCAGAATCCAGGCTAACAATTGGTTGAAAATATAATGTAGTGACATGTGTATAAACATACAACATGAAACAGATTATCACAATTTTGCAGAATCCTGCAACTTTTACCCAGAAATCCTTAAGAAGTAATGAAATGTGTGTGCAAATATATTTAAAAAGCACTGAATATCCTTGCTGACCAGATTCAAAAAAATGAAAGAAACTTGTACCATAAGATCCTATTGTATTTGGAATGAAATGTCCAATTATTTTACCTCACTTTCTACTGGCAATAGACTTCTGACGTCATGCTGCTCAAATCTAGAAGCAAGCAACTGACCTCCAGCAGCTAACCATGGCGTAAGAGCCATTGAAATACCAACAACCAGAAACAACAATGATGAAAGCCGAGAAGATAGGATACCCTATATACAAAAAATAGAATAAATAAGTTTCATCTGTCAATCAAAACTATCTAGCCATTTCTATAACAGGAAAAGGAAAAAAAATCTATAACAGGATAACCCTTAATTTTCCCCTGATGGCATAATTATGTTACTGATGGAGCCAATGCATAATGACATGTATAAGCATGCTGCAACCTAAACAAACACCAATTAATATATATTGTATGGTCGCGACATATTTGGAGAAAATAAATAGTATAAAAGAGCTCTTAAAAAACACCAAATTCAGAAAGATCACCTGATTTACAGCTTCTCCAAAAGCAACAAATGCAAATTCTCCACCAGGAGCTAGGAGAAGACCAACTCTTATTGCCGCTATAGGCGAAATGCCAAATAGTCTACCCACTAAGGCAACCAGCACAGTTTTTCCAACAATTAAGAGACTCAGTGTCCCCATAATAGCTGGAAAATTTCCAAGCAGCAGTTTTGGATCAATGGACATACCAACCTGAAAAAAAAACACACATGAAGTTTATGAACAAGTTTGTCAATGAGCACATAGAAAATTATACACATTACATTGTACATTCAGGCCACGGTATACAGTCCAATAGCTGGCATAGTTTTCTCAATATAACCAAAGTTCAGAAACTTCTTATACTAAGGCTAAAGCTGACATGATACTAAATGAGAAATGCTATCTACCATGGCTCATCGCATGTCCTAGGGAAAGCTTCATACAAGACATGCAGAGAGAGAGAGAGGCCCAGCAGACTCACACTCCATTGTGCATAGGATCACAGTATGTAGCATTAGGTGTGTGCCAATGAACCAGTCAATTGAGAATGTAACTCAAATCATTGCATTTGTTTTGTATTGGTTTAATTTTTCTATAATGACTGGCCTAGTATAGTTTGAAAAAGACAAAAGTAGAACAACTTTCAATTTGGTTTGGTTTGGTCTGTGGTCTAAGAAACATCCATACTAAACCAAACTGGAAATGATGTAACCATACATAATACACGGTGCTTGGGAGGGTATCCTATTTGCATCAACCACCTACAGGACCCAGATCTTAATTAAAGGTGATCCACAGTGGTCATTTGGTGGTTGTCCGGTGAAGGGCTGGCTTGTGCAGCTGCTCTCTCCTTTCTAGCTGATGTTTCTGATTGCACTGCCCATGGCCATCATATGCAATTTTCCCATATATTAGCAGACTGGGAGGCAAAATTTGTTCTTCTTTTTTGGAGTGTTGTACCCGGTTAATTCCCCAGCAAATGCCTTGGATTTAGCTAAAAATGATATGCATGATGAATGTTTCTGTTACTTTTGGAACAAATCTTATGGTGGTCTTGAACCCTATTTACCACAAAAAAAAAAGATCCTACAAGTTATATATAATAATCAATATACATAGAACATATTTGTTAGAATTTTTAATGTAAGTGTTATGAATGTAACATTCACATAAACTATAATCACGTATAACATAATATACAAACATTATACAATCTTGATACCAGACCAAATCAACTAATTTTGGTTGGGTTTTTCCTTGTGGTTCCATACACTATATATGTCTGATTCCATTCTAAATTTCCACAAAAAATTAACTGAACCAAACCATGTGAACCCTTATGTAGCATTGTTCAAATAGACATTTAATGAACAGCTAAAGAGTTCTTCACCTGCATTAGTTAAGCAGATCGGTGGTTTCTTTTCCACTCTTTCATATTTTCTATATTTACTACTCAACAAGGATTCAATAATAGCATATCCTTTTATTGCTTCACTCTTTCTTTATAATTTACTTGTATGCAAATATGTAATGGATGTACAAAAAGGATATATAAAAGCATAAAGTAACTTCATAGCATAATGGCAATGTGAATTTAGCCCAGCATCATTGTTGTCTAAACAATCAACATGAAAGGATGCTTTGAAAAGCAAACATAAAATACTGACGGATAGAAAAATGGGTCGTGCATTGACTCTCAACCTGATTCACTTGCTTTATGTAACAAAATCATGAAGAAATGGGACACAGGATTCGGATATAGTACATACTGTCATGAAAAAGAGGCCCAGCAGAAGGCCACGATAAGGAGCAATATCTGATTCAACTTGCAAGGAAAATTCTGTCTCTGCTAGGAGAAGACCAGCCAAAAAAGCTCCCAAAGCCATAGAGAGTCCAGCCTGTTATAGGAAGTTCCACTAATGATCATTTGAGAGAACAGCAGGGAATCATAATAAATAGTTGCACATACCCTTGCTGTAAGAAGACTTGTTCCCAATATAACAAGGAGTGTATTTGCAGAAAATATCTCAGCATTTTGGTTTTCTGCAATTTGCTTATAAATTGGCCGAAGAAACTGCCAGGTCATAATAGCCAAAGACAATTAATATATATTGAGAAACATGATGAACTCGAAAAAGAAAATCCTACAAGATGTATGAACAGAAAATTTTGTGTTGTAACATCAAATTTTAACCAAAAACACTCATTTAAGCACACTCTGTCATGCAAACTGACCATAAAAACATGTCTTACTCAAACAATACAAAACCTATATCCAAAATAAAATTATTCCAAGTGTCAATAGCAAAGGAAACATCTCGTAATCAAGAGAAACTTTCAGCATATCAGGATAGCGGTAGTGAGAAAGTGAAATTAAACATAAAGAATTATGAAGGATATTACAACGTTAAATCAATCAGGAGTTAGAGCGAAATTAAAAAAACAAAACAAAGAAATCCATATGGAATAAGATAATACAAACAAGAATAACAAAGTTCAGCCAAAAAAAAAAAACTGACAAAAATAAGCAAGATGGAAAAGTTAACTTGCTTGGCTTAGCAAACACGTCACTCAAAATTAAACAGTATATAGGGGGTGTTATGTTTAACACTGCCAATGTGAGTCCCAAGCCCGGATGAAAAAGGTAGAGGGTTGCATTAGGTCACTGACAACCAGCGTAACATTATATCAGTCTCATGAACATTGATCATATCTGATTTCAATATAAAGAAAGTTAGGTCATCACCCGAAAGTGACAAGTCACCTACACCACCTAAGTGTCCCGAATTGGTCTTTGCAGATCTTAATTACGGCAAAAGATTCATGTAGCAAATCCCAAATAGTTAGGACTTACAGTTTTATTGTTGTTGTTGTAGTTGTATAAGGGGTATTATGTTTGTTGGTCCCTTGTTATATTACACTAAAATGGTTTAAAATACCAGTTGAACTGGTAACAAGTACTGGTAAGGTGAATATAGTTTCATATCATACACCATTCTTTTCAACAATACTATGCAGGACATGTCGATAAATCATTAGCTATACTTGTATCATACTGATCCAATAGGTTATTGCAACTAATATCAAACCAGTATTTAAAAACATGATAATAATGAAATATTTGTTCAATAAAAGTCCAACTTACCAAGCGTCCTCCAGCAATTATGGCAGCGATAGCAACTATTGCTTTTACAGCAGCCAATCCAAGAGCCTCTGCTATTGCTTGAAATCCCACCTGAGGGAAGACAAGACAGTCAACAAACAATAATTTTCTTAGCTTATTTTATGAGCTTGCACTTGAAGGAGATCTTGATCAATAAGATGGTAAAATCATATAAATTACGTAGTCATCAACCCCTACCAAAAGTATAGATATGATGATAACCTACAGTTAACTAAGCAAAAATAAAAAATAAAAAAGACAGAAAGATCATAGCTAAAGAACTCACAGTCGATGATAACTTGCAAAAAAGTTCTTAGAAAAGTGCATCTGAAGTAGTCAATCAGATTATCAGAGTGCACCAAAGTGCAAAACCACCAACAGGGATACTGAAAAGTAATTGTCTTAGCAAATGAGGCAGCTCAATTAGTCAGGCATCAAAAGATGATGACAGGTAACATTCGCGGTCTTGGTATACAAGGGAATGTGGATCTACTACTAGCAACTTGATTCTTCTTATATGATTCTTGTATTCTATCAAGGTCACTTGGTTCATTAATATTTACTCTCAAGTTTTTATGCAGACAACTTGATGAATTGTGATCTGGCATCTGATGATTATTAGTTAGGGCTTCCAAAACTAAAGATTATTTGGTTTCTTGAACCATAAACCTATATGATAAGAATCAAAGACATTCATTTATCAACTTCATAGTGCTATTTAGAATGCTACTCTTCATAATTTGAACTTTTTAGTGCACCATATATCCCTCTATCATGATGCAAATTCTGTAAAGGAAGAAAAAAATCTTCAGAGTATCTGAAGTTAAAAAAGGTGGCTCAGATCAGAAGGCTCCTGCAAATACCAGAGTTTGGGAGAGTAAATAGACACAACCTTGTAACTGCAAGCAGAAGGCTATTATGTAGCTTCAACCTTGATAGACAACCTTACCATAGTGACATATATATATCTCTCTCTCTCTCTCTCTCTCTCTCTCTCTCTCTCTCTCTCTCTATGTGACTAAAGTACAATGTGTTACATCACTTTATTTTTTAAAAAAATATTAATGAGATGGAGTGTAGAGACAACTATTATGAAAGGCTGAATGCTACATCGGTAAGGTTGCATTAAGGCTAAGCGCGGACCTTGGTATAACAGTAAGGTTGCTCCTTTGCGACCTGGGAGATGGAAACATTCTCTTTAAATATTTAAAGTAAGACTGCGTACATTGACCGTCCCCAGATACCGCATTGGCAGTCTTATGCACTGGACACGCCCCTTTTTGCTGAAGGCTACATCACAACCCATTTAAGGCACCATAACTAGACCTCAAAGAGTAGACAACAAGATATCAACTCAAGCTCCATAAGGATACCAGCCATTCTACCTCAGATCTTAGGAAAACTGATCCCTAAATGCATCAAATTTTGGGGAGAAAAATATCAGTTAACATCTGATTTATCCTGTAGCTAACAAGTCAAAATCTAGTTTTTCTATCAAAGATAGCTATTAATGCTATAGCTTATAAAGATGGTCATACAGTTAAAACCTATATTAGGGTCACACTTTAATAAGATTTTATGAACAAGCTGCTATAAAAACTAATAAAGCATTGTTAAAAATGAGTAAATAGAAGGTTACCCCTCCTTTGGATGAATTTGGCGAAATGAGAGGTATCAGTATCAGCAGAACCACCACTGCTAAGTCCTGTGATAGATTACGGTAAGGCATCAATTACTAGATCAAACAAAAAATTATTAACAGGAACAGAATAAAAAATATATAGCAGCAAATACCACGATATGATATTCAACTCCTTTAAGCTGATAGAAAAATGCAAGGCAAATTACAAGCAGGAAAAAAAAGTTCCCTTAGAATAGAGGATTCTTTTGTCAATATAGGCTTTAAACTGATGGAAAAATACAAGACTAATTACAAGCAGGACAAAAATGTTCCCTTAGGATAGAGGAATTCTTTTGTCAATATAGGTAACACACAGCAGCTGGGAAGATACATATAAGACAAGACAGCCTGATATCTGATTTAACTTGCAGGCAGACAAATCTGGTTTCAAGTTCAGGATATTGTAAATTCATATTGCAAGCACCAAGCAGAAATGAAACTTCTACCTAGAAAAGATAGAGATACCTGAAAGAGTAACACAGAAAAAGTAGCACGTCCATGGCGTGATGTGCTCTCCCCTCGTTCTTGCAGCACCTAAAAACGTGCAAGTTGATAACAAAAATGAAGTGATACACAAAATATACACATGAAAATGGACATCCAGAGTCGGAAAGTAATGAGTAGTTGCAAAACAAATATACCTGCAAGACAACTGCTGTAGATGATAGAGCCAGACCATTACCGATAACAATTGCTGCTGGGCCCAGTTGCCCAGAGACTAAATGCGCTATCAAGCCAACTACTATTGCAGTGACCAAAACCTGTGAATTGTCAACAAAGCAACAACCTACAATAAACAGTTTTGCACAGGATCACAATTACAGAAGAATTACAGCACAATGGAATCACCTGAGCAGATCCTAAGCCAAAGACATATTTCTTCATTGAGCTTAGCCTTTCAACAGAAAGCTGCAATTGTGTGTCATAAACTCAGTTGTCTCATCAAACAAGTTCAACAAATGATCAACTATTAGTACATCAGCAACCGATAAAAAAAAATATAACTTCAACACACTACCTCAAGCCCAATATTGAATAGCAAAAACACGACTCCAAATTCAGCAATGGCCTTTGTCCCGTGAACATGCCGAATAATAGACAGCCCATATGGACCAATCAAGATACCAGCAGTAAGATATCCAAGTACAGGACTACCTAGAAGATACAACAGAGAATAAATGAAGCTATTCAGATAAATTCTTTGAATAAACACAGGTTATCTCATAAGACAACTGTAGGAATTCACCTATTTGACAAGGCAGAAGGCACTGTGACCAGAAAGAAGAATATTACATGCAAATTTTTACATGTAATTGTTTTCATTTTTCACATTAAATCAATTTTCTATGATAATTTTTTCAGGAAAACTGTGTCCATTATTTTCATGACAATAATTCTATTTTTCCTTTTTGGACCACCCATGAATTTTAGTCCCCTCGCAGACTATAGATAATCAATGTTGCAAAAGAATCACGTAAATATGTTCCATATAAGAATCACCTTTGGCATATTTATATACTGAATGCAGCTGTTCCTTATAATCTTTATCAATATTTACCACATAAATTTGGTCTCCAAAACTGTCATTTTTTCCAGCCTAGAGTTGCAGCATATCTTAAGGTCACATAGAAAGCATAATGGGTTTCAGATTTCACTTTGAGACTCGACCAGAACATAGACAAATATTTTGGTATTGCATTGTTTTTTATATAAAAATGATGAAAAAAAATAGTTATCAGATCTTCCATCAATGCTGAAACCATTTCCTTGTATTAATTGACTTGTATGCATAATTAATAGTATCCATGTTTTTGTATATGTTCCACTAACCACCATCACATCATCATCCATGAAATGACCAACTTCGTCTAGCTTCATTTGCATATATGTTTCAACCTATGAAATGTGAAAACTACAGAGTAATATATGACCTCAAAAAAAAAAAATCCCAATTAATTGTCAAGAACTTTATGCTTTGCATAATCATAGTTATAACTTGCTACTGTGAACAAGATTCTAATTACTCTATGTTGGATTCATCAATTCTTTCTGACTATAATTATCTCCTTAGCCAATATTTATCTTCATAAACCATTCTAAAAAGCCGTAGCCAACGGACATCTCTAGTTTTATTATGTTCCTCTCTTAAGTAGGTGATCTTGGCATACTTCACTGCATCATTTTGCTTTTATCATAATCTATTAATCCTAGTCTTTTTCCCACAAAACTAGAAGCCCATTTTTAGCACTTCAATAAAACAGATTATATTTGCTTTCTCCTTGACGAACAAAATTTAACAGGGTGTTCTTGTGGTGAAATATGAAAATCAACCAATAAAAAGGGTTGATTCTGTAGAAAAAGAAATAATTAATCAAATTGATTTTTGCATATAAACAAACAGTAAAACTCCAAGCACTTGCTTACCTCCAGGTATTTTCTGGAATATTGGTACAAAGATAACGCTAGCTAGCAGTAACCACAGCATGTCAAACAGGGAGGCCTCTTCTTCATTTATCTGTCAGAACAAGAGCAAGAAATTATGTTAGTAGAGAAATGCAAGGTTAAAGCAAGGTTCGCAATACCGTACCGTACCGGTATTTCGACCTGGGCTCGGTACCGGTACGGTACGGTATACCGAGCGGTACACCCAGGTGTACCGAGTAACTGCTACAGTGCTACGGTAACTGCTACAGTACGCGGAACGGTAACAGTCGGTCCGCGTACCGAAAATCTGTCGGACCGGTACGTACTGCCCGTACCGGGCGGTACGGCTCGGTACGGAAAACCCTGGGTTAAAGGAGTATTAACAAAATTAATGGGAAGTACCTCTATATCAAAAATACTAGAGAACATTTTTATTTGAAAGTCCATGATATACTTTAACAAGCACTAAAATATTGTGTCACAAATTATAATGGATGAAAATCTGCAATTAAATTAATACCTCTTGCTGAGGTAAGAGTTCAATAAGTTTCTTTAATCTTTTAGGGATCTTCCTTATTGCTCGAACCACAGGCTTGGCAGATGAGGCCACTTCTTCAATACTGATTACATCTGGCTGATGAAGCAATTGTGAGGTCCTTTCAACCCGATTACTTAAGAAGTAAGCCCTGGCACAGCAATTAATACATATTGAATTCCAAAGCATTGTTCGTTGGCATGAGAGCTTAAAATAAAATAGTTAGACAGGAGAATCATGAAAATCAATAGCAATTAGGATGAGAAACCAACTGTATTTATACTTTATATGCCCTTTCTGGGTACAGGAGAATCATGAAAGAAAATTTAAGAAATTTAAGAATTACTAATAAAGCCATTTTGTATATCTTCTGTCATATCAAGTATTTGTTGCTAGTTGTTCTAGGGGTGTCATCATTCAAGCCAACCATGCATTTGTTCTACAAAATGTAATATTTCACCAAGAAATGATGGCAAATATACAAACACTAGTTGGTAATCTTACTATATAAGCAATTAAAAATGGACCTACAAATTTTACCATAGACAATATTTCCTTTGTTAGATGCCTACAGGAAATACAAATAGGCCATAAGTGTAATTGATCTACCAGTAAACAAGGACAAAAAATTTAGCACCATAAAGTAGGCATAGCAATTGCTACACGATAGATAGCAAAGATGTGAAAGTCTATTTGGCAAGGTCTGGTGGACATGAAGCTTTGAAGAATCACGATACCTATATTTCCAGAAACTGAGAGAAATTGACATACCAAAGAACAACAGGCTTGGATGTGTAACTCTTGGGATGCAAGCAAGTTAAACAAATGCATGTGGTAGCATTAAAAAGACTGGAGCCACAAGTTGAGTTAGAGATTTCCCAACCTGATCATTTTCTAAGGCCAACCAAGAGCAAGTCAAAGAAAACTGCTCATGGCCAAAAGGTGTGGTGATATGGAAAATTTCTCATATCAAACGGGTCCAAACTTAAGAGAAAAAGTAAAAACTAGAGCAGCAATATAAAGAACCTCTTCGATAAAGTAAAAAGAATAAGATCACCGGTAGGGTGTGAACATCATAGAGCAAGGGTTGGCGCAAACTTTATCCACATTATTTTTAAATTTGCTTGTAATAATCAAGTATATCTCCTTGTACATTTGCTTGTAAGAGGATAGAAAAGGAAATATGGAATCCAAAAAAGCTACAAATTTGATTGTAATGATCATGAATATTTTCTATAGCTAAAGAGCAAACACCACCAAAAGGACAGGAAATAAAAGGGACAAGGATACCTTTAGAGTACTCCCTTTTGGGGCACAAAAAAAAAAGAACAAAACATAATGCTGGTAAAACAGTGGAGCGGATAAACTAATAAATAAGTATCCCAATGAACATAAAAGACAAAATTATCAGGGAATGATCCAGGTTTTGCTCCCAAAGCATTTAAAAGATGTCAAACCACAGACATCATCTACTAAAATGGTTCAAAGGGTTAAAGAGAAAGAGAATTGTGTCACTGATGCCCAGATAATCCAAAGAAAACACTAACAAGGCAGAACCCTATAACCCCTAAGCACGAAAAAATGAAACTCTTAAAATAAAAGAACACCAAAGCAAAAGGTAGATGTATAAAGGGCTAACATGTTATACAACCACCTTATAAAGAAAGGGAGCCATTAGTGCGCAACCGACATATTGCAACAGACAAGAAATGATTTTGGAGTCAGTGAGTTGATGAAATTTATGATTTCTATATGTAAGATTTGAATTAAGTTAACACAAAAGAGAAGCAAAGGTACATTTAATCAAATCAGAAGTTAACCACAGATGGATTTGTCCTTGATAAATGGATAATGAGAAAAAAAAAAAACATTATGTTGAGAACATATTTTAGTCCTAATATAAGAATACATTAAATCAAGCAACACAGAAATCACCTCGAATACTAACAGTACTACTAAAAAGATTTAAGAGGGTCAGGTTCCAACGTCAGAAGAAAGCCATGAAATATCAAATATAGAGTTAACGCACTAGTTCTATCAAATATCAGAATTGCTTATATTTCAAATGAAAAAAAAAATATATATAAAAGTATGATCCACGAGAAAGTGGTTATGCCTAGTCGATCACCCAAAACAGTGTCTGTTGTTAAAGTCATATGAGCACATCATAAGGTAACAAGTATACCATCTACTTTTAGGAGAACATTTCTTAGGACACGCACACCAACTCCTTTGCAGGAAAGAGGGGCTCATGCATATCTTTATATTTAATGTAGATTCAGTGTAAACCAAGAAGAAAGGCTGAGCTACTAGAATGTTTCGGATTCTTAAGACTTTCAAAAGCAATTTCAACTCCGTTATTGGATAAATTCTCTTCATCAACTTCATTAGCATAATCACATAGCACAAGTATCAAATTATCAGTCTTTAGTTACATGAATCTGTAGATACATTACACCATGATTCACAGAGATTAAAAAAAAAAAACGTTGACGAAAGTTAATAATAGCAATACTTAAAAAATATTGCCCTTTTTATGTTCCTTGGTTCATCCAAACAAGGTCCCTCTAGACCAGGGTGCTTTGAATTGCAGAAAGTACAATCCACGACAGTTAAGAGCTAAACAGAACGTAATGATTATTTGGAACTACCTGACACGAAAACATTGATAAACCATGAAGGATTTGAGTAGCAGAAGTTAATGCATTACCATAAAACTCACCCCATTCCAAGAAACATAATTCCGATAACCAGCTTGGGTGCTTGCTTCTTCGCAAAATTAACAAGGCCATGGAAGACAGAGGCAAGTGTAAACTCTTCATCTTCTACATCAAAAGAGAAAAACGATGCAGAAAAGAACCTTGACGACTTTTTCAACGAAGCCTTGGGTGCATTAACAGTTGAAGAACTATCCCTAGTGAAGTCCTTTTGTTGTTCCTGCTTCTTTGCCTTTGACTTTTCAAACTCTATATCAGCTTCTTTGGTAAAATCCAAAGTCAACTTCCCATTCTCTTGATCACTCAGTTCATCAAATGTTTCCACCTCTTCAATGCTTCGAACAGCCACATCACCAGCCACAAGTTTATCACCAACCAACACTTCATCTCTTTCGGTAGTAGCGTCGCTGACAGTACCTCGTGTAACCTCCTCAACAACATTTGCTTCCTCCTTAACCACCTGGTCCTGAGAAGGTTGTGCTTGCTGCTCGACAGCATCAGCAGAAGAGACAGCTTTCTCAGCTCTCTGTAGTGCCAGCTCCGCATCATTAACACGTTGAGTAGCCTCCAGCTCAAAAGCCACTGCCTGTTCAGCGAGAAGCATAATGTTTGCCACATCCTCCTCAGCTTTTAATGAATCCAGCTGAGCTTTCTCAGCAATCTGGCGCAACCTCTCTACTTCTTTTTGCAGTTCCTCCTTCCTCATCTGAATGCGTCTCAAACCTTCTGCACAGCTTTCCAAGCTTTCCTTGCAGCCACTGATCTCTTCTCGAGCAGATACAAGTGCTTGTTCCTCATCATTCTCCATTGAAGGTTCTGTCAATGTTGTTTGTTCCTTTTTGGAATCAATAGCTTCTGCTGCCACTTGCAGCCTAGCCTCAGCCATTGAGAGGGCCATGGTGGCCTTCTGGACTGCTTCTTTGGCAATGTCCTCTTCGTTAATGATCTCCTGAATGGAAGAAACAGCAGAGTTAACATCTTCCCAGGCTCGTTCCGCTTCATCTTTTAAGGCGATCGCTGTTTCTGATATCTTCTGTGCCTTCTCTTCAAACATGGTACTGTTAAGCCGAGCAACCTGCAATTCCTTGCTAGACTTCTGTAGTGATTCCCTCAACTCATCCACTTGATAGGCTTCCTTTTCCTCCGCCTCTGGACCACTCAGCTTTACATCAGAGCCAGCCCCTACTTCCGAGTCTTCGATGGAAGGCATCTGCTCATCCACTAAGTTGCTTTCAGTGGCATCAAAATTCTGATTGCTGGCACCAACATATGCCAAAGAATCATTCGATTGACAGTTTAAGAGCATGGATCCCTTCAGAAGCTTCCGAGGGTTCAAGAAATTGCCTTCGAAAGGTCTCCTCCATCGCCCGGAAAAACTAAACGGCTCACTATAATCTCTCCCGAGCACTGAGCCCAATGAAACACGACCATTACCAAGTCCACGCACTCCCCCCCCCAAGGAATAAGACTTGAAGCAGACCTTAGTTTCACGAAGTACGCTGCGACTTTGCCCTCTGTACGTAAACCTCAAATAACTGGAGCCATTGCCGTAATCGAACGCGGTCGTCGGCCGAAAACCACAAGTTAAATCCATCATCCACTTCCGGTGCAGACAAATCTAACACTTCCCCCACCTGCGGAAAACAAGCAGACCAGCATCATAATGAATAAATCACCAAGCACCAAGCACTCAACAAATATAAGAAAGCTCCCAATGACGGATCAAGATGAACATTAAACCCTAGAAAACCGGAGGAAAAGAAAATTCCAATAACGGATCAAGATGAACATTAAACCCTAGGGACCAGCGGAAAGGGGCGTCCGAGGAGCTCAAAATCGAGCTCTAATGAGGGCGCCGAGGGCAAAGGGGAAGCGGAGGAGTCGTACGGGCAGATCGAATGCCGGAGCTCAGTCGGAAAGCGATCAGATGATCAGTGGCGGAGAAGACGATGCAATCGGTGGCGGGAGCTCCTCTTTTCACCCCCCGCCCATCCCGTGGCAGCGATAGGGAGAGGAGAAGCAGAGAGCAGGGGCGGAGTCACGGAGAAGCGTTGAAATGGAACGGCGGGCGAGGAGGCAGTTTGCGATTGGTCCACAGGTTTGGGGACGCAGCGTTACCCTCCCCTTGCGCGAATCACTCGCGGCTGCCGTCTTTTGATGCTTCGGTTGGGTTGAATATTCCTTTGAAGCGGGCGAAGAGCCGCAATCCGAACGCTCGATGTGCATATTCGTCATCTATTCGGATTCGGATCCCATATCGGATCTGGTTCGGGTAATTGAAATCCGGCCCTTTAAGATAAATTAACAGGATCGTGCTTCTCGTAGTGTCTAAAGTCGTGCGTCAATTCATGCCCTCGTGGCATGTGAAAGCCCCCGTCGAAGCGAGAAGACCGACCCACTGGGGACTAAAGCCCACTGGATTCCAGGCTTCTCGGCTCCATATAAGCACTACAGCACTGTCTCCTTCCTCGTCGCCATGGATGTGTACATCTCGGAAGAGTATGTCATGAGCAGGAGGAGGGCTAAAATGGCTGCAGCAGCATCTGAGGCCATGAAGCGGTCGGGGAAGACGACCAGCTCTGGGTTTCAGAAGAGAGAGGAGGAAAAGAGGAGAGGTCGGAGATCTGCGTAGTCGCACTCGGGAATGCTGCTAACCAGATGTCCTTTATATACCATAAACTGGTTTTAATGATGCACTGTCAGAGTATGTGGTTTGTTGGATCTGGTGTGGTTGAGTTATTAGCAGGATTCATGATCTATCTTTTCTTTTCTCTCTTAGAATTAGAAGAACTTAAAGTAGAAAAGTTGCTAAAGGTCAAGTTATTGTAGTTTTAGTGGAGGAGATGTGAACAGTTTGGTGAATTGTAGTTTGGAACTTCACAGAATAATGGGAGACTGAAATGAACTGTTCTTCCTCTTGTTTTATAAGAAGAGATGCAGTGTGCTTTGGGAGCTCATTTAAGAAAGCTGTCAGAATGGCCTCTAACGAATCCCACCTCTTAGCACAGTAGCATGTCTCCTACTTCCTTTTGTTTCATCGCCATTATTGGACTCCAGAGCAGCTTCTGCTCCTATTCAGCTGCTGATCCACCGACCATTGATCTCTCTCTCTCTCTCTCTCTCTCTCTCTCTCTGTGTGTTGTGTCAGTGGAAAGAGGACACTTTCCCTGCTCTGCTCTGATCTGTGGTCAACACTTTGCCTGTTTTCTGCACTTTGCAGACATAAAACTACAGTAAGCAGAGATCGAGATTTCCCTTCTGTGAATGCGATGTAACTTTTGAGCATCAGGATGTGCAAAGTTGGAGTGGTAATCTGGTGACACAGATCAAAATGTAGCTTTTTTCAGGGAAAGACCTGATGAACAATGTTCCCAGCTACAGCAATAGATTTATCATCCATGTTCAACAACACAATGCTTGATGATAGATATGTTAGAAAATAAATAGATAAACAAGTTGTAGAAGTAGTTGATTGTTATTAACATATCCTCCTTCCTTTTATACAGGTTAGAAGGAAGAATTTTCCTCAACAGGTGATGAGAGGCACCAGAGTCGACAATCCAGTTGGACTGGCTAGGTGTCGGAGAAGTTAGGAGATTTGCCTGAGGCCAGTGTGACGGAGCAGGGAGGCGGGGACGAGACCGGCAAACTTTAGCGGAGTGGCCGACTTTGTCACACAGTTGGCAAACGACCCGTCTTTGATGGCTCGGTAGGGCCATCAATTTAAAGACGGATGATGGCTGGAGTTGCCACTTTGCGAGAAGTGATGACTAGGAGGATAGGAGGGGTGTTGCATGGAACTCACAGAATCAAGAGGCGCATTAGCCAAACCTTGGATGATGTTCGGCGAGTACCGAGTGCTTTTCCGTTTAGACTTATGACTGACTTGAGCAGTGACAGTTGATCCAGGTAGTTTGTCCGCACGCTTCAAGTACATCTCGTAGTCAGTCAGCTTATCATAGAGATCTTCAAAAGAGACTGGCGAGTCGCGTGCCCGAATTACAGCAGCCAATTCCTTGTAGTCGGTGTCGAGACCATTGAGGGTATGAATGACAACCTCTCCGTCACGTAGGGAATGACCTATTAAGGCCAAGTCATCAATGATAACCTTGATGTGTTGTAGATAATCAGATATACTACTTCCCTCTTGTTTTGTCACCATAAGCTTGGATAGAAGACTGAGCTTGCGAGTACGCGAATGATTTGCCAGGGTGGTTTGCAGTGTAGACCATGCATCAGCAGCTGTCACACATGAAGATATCAAGGGAGCAACAGATCCAGCAACTGAAGCTTGAATGGCTTGGAGGATGAGACGATCTTGACGTAGCCACAGTTTGTGAGCTGGATTGGGTACTGGACTGGGATCGCCGAGGATGTTGAGCATGGCCGGAGGACATCTGAAAGAGCCATCAATGTAACCTAGCAAGTCGTATCCAAATAAAAGATTAGAAAATTGAGCTCGCCAGGACGCATAGTTGCCACCCTTTGATAACTTAAAGGGTATCAGCGTGGCAGCATTGATGGAGATAAGCCCTGTAGAAGAACAAGAAGTGGGAGTCCCTACAGGAACTGAAACATCAGAAGAAGTGAACGAAAGAC